GGGGGCCGGGGACACCTACCATGCAGGAGGAGGCCCCGCTGCCGCCAGCGCACACCATGTCCTTGGTGATGCGGAACAACCAGTAGCGCCGGCACTGTGTGTTGGTGAGCAGCGGCAGGGCCACCTGCTGCAGCACCGCTGGCGGCGGCGTCAGCACCACGGGGACCCGGGGACGGGGATGGGATGGGGACTGGGATGAGGATAAGGATAGGAATGGGGATTGGGGATGGGGATGATGGTGAGGATGAGGATGGTAATGGGGACTGGGGATGATGGGGATGAGGATGATGACAGGGATGGGAATGGGATGGTGATGTGGATGAGGATGAGGACAGGGATGAGGATGGCAATGGGGATAGGGGTGGGATAGGGATGACAATGAAGATGTAGACGAGCATGGGGATGAGGACAGGGATGGGGATTGGGATGGGGATGAGGATGGTAATGGGGACTGGGAATGATGATGAAGATGGGGATGATGATGAGGATAAGGGTGGGGATGGGAATGACAAGGACAATGAGGAGGTGTTGGGGACAGGGATAGGGAGGAAGGATGGGGATGAAGACGAGGAGGAGCATGGGATAGGGACAGGGATGGGGATGAGGACAGGGATGGGGATGAGGACAGGGATGGGGACGAGCACGTGGACAAGGATGAGGATATGGATGAGGCCAGGGATGGGGATGAGCACAGGGATGGGGATGAGCACGTGGACAAGGATGAGGGTATGGATGAGGCCAGGGATGGGGATGACAATGAGGATAGGGAAGAGAATGGGGAGGGGGACTGGGACAGGAAGGTGTGGTACCGTTGGGGTCAGCGAGCCCCCAGCCTGTGGTGACGCAAGTCGTGCCCCCTGGGAAGTCATCGGTGGCCTGGGGCAGGCAGACAGGGGACACAGTGGCCGACAGGCGCGCGGGGGTGGCCAGTTTGAGCAGGGTGATGTCGTTGCGATTGGTCAGCAGGCCGTACCTGGGGTTCTTGAAGACCTAGAGCAGGCGGCACCACTCCCAGTGCCCACAGCCCCAGCCAGGGCGCTGGGCACTGGTGAGTCCACAGGGACTGGCGGGGACCCTGGGGACCGACAGGGGATGGTGGGGACCCTGGGGTATGGCCCTGTGGGTCCCAGGTTGACAGGGTCCCTGGGGTGCAGATCCCAGCCCTGGGGCACAGGGGAGCAGGGACGTGTCAGGGACTCACGGGGATCCCACGGAGCAGAGCAAGTCTTGGGCTGAAGGGGACCCAGGGACACATGGGTGGCAGGGACAGCCCAGGGACACCCCAGAGACACCAACAGAGAGCAGAGCCCAGCCCTGGGCTGATGGAGACCCAAGGAGCAAACCCCTGGGGCACTGGGCGATGGGGACACTCCAGGGACACCAACAAGGACTCAGGGGGACCCCAGGGTGGGCAGAACCCAAATCCCCAGCTAAGGCACACCCAGGGAACAGGCGACAACCCCAGGCACCGATGAGTGCCAGGACCAGTGGCCAGACCCCAGTCCTCAGGAAGCGGGGACCAACCATGAGCCCCTGTCCCACCCAAGGGTGCTGCTGTTTGGGGACCTTGGGGCAGCTCAGGGCTGCACAGGGCAGCCCCCAGCCTGGGGAGCAGGGACACCCCAGGTCATGTCACCTGCAGGGATGAAGGAGATGCTGGGGGCCTGACCACCATCCCTTGGGGGTCCTGGGGATGGAGTTCAACCCCTGGGATGAGGGGGAGCAGGGAGACTCTAGGGGACCCAAGCCCAGGGAAGCAGGACCCCATGGACACCCCAGGGACCCTGACACTCAGGACAAGGGGAACCAGGGACCCCTGGGGACCTAGGACTCGCACCCCACGGTGGCTGTGGGACCCCACAGGCACATGAGTTCTGCGCTGGTGGTACCTTCTGGATGGCCAGCCTCT